GCGCAATATTTCGCTGGACTAAGTGGTTTGGCAGAGAACCGAATTAACCAGGATATATGACTTGTCAAGGACAAAAATAAAATGGCCTATTGATTAAAATGAGTAGGTCTCCTATGACCAATGGTTTATTACTTTGCTACTGATATCAGCCTCAGTAGGTATGTTGCACCTATCGCAACTAAGTTTGAGTTTTAGATTACCCAGACGATTTGTGGTTTGAGCCATTCTCGCGAAAAATATTTGAAATAAATGACGAAGACGACGCCAAGAAATCGTTGAAGCACTCTTTGATGCCCCCACCAAATTGTAGACATTCCATACAGACGAGTAACTCTATGCTGGCTTTCCTATGAGGGGCGCTGGCCAAAAGCCCTGGTCTGCAAATGTAGATGCCCACATGATCGGTGAACAGTTCATTGCTATAAGGATGCCGTAGATGCCCTTACAGGTATTTACCACGCGAACATTATGTTTGAAAGCGGTCCTTCGGACACCAAAAAACGTCTCTCAACACAATCCGGTCCGTCTAAAATGTTGGGATATCGTGTCGAGGACAGGGTACTAGTAACAACAATTATTCGCAACGAAGGTTTTGCCTCAGTTAAAAGAGACCCCCAGCTACGGACCCCAATTTACGCACACATATGGCGACGGGTCGTGTCAGAAATACTCCCTTTTTTCGGATCAGGCAGAGGAACCGTAGTGGCGATCTCAATTTCGTCAGTGACTTCCGACGAACCTACTCAAAACAATCTGAAAGGGTACGAAACTTATCGGCCAAATTACTCGTCAATTAAATTGCCTTTGGCACCTCCGAGTCGGCTGACGGGCAAGTTTAGTCGGAGCGTTAACAGCATTGGACGAATAATCTGTCTGCACTCTCTACTCTAAATGTAACTTGGTTCTCATGCGACAGTATATCCTCTGTCAGCCTGAAGAATATGATGTATGGCATCTTGTTCTCAGTGTCTGCTTGTCCTTTGCGTGGATGTCATCGCAGAGCTCCTTTATAGCTCACTCTTAGTAATTTGTTGGCAGGAACTTCTTGTATCAACCAGCCCCGTGACGGGCAGGAAGTAATAAAGTTCATCAACTGCATGGCAGTTCGAAAGATCATCCTTTTCTTCCGTAATGACGCACTGATCTATTTACCATTCAGATAAGCTAATGGATGTCCACTGACCGCCTAGTTAAAGTAGTCAAACGCATGCAACATCGACAACTCCTAAGAGAAAACATCAATATAATTATCTCGCAAAATGAAAATCGGGGATTCGATGTCAACCACTAAGCGCTCCATACGTTACATTTCGTAGCACACTTTAAGTCTGAACTCTTAACGACGTGGTGATACTGTGTTACGTACCACACCCTCTCTTTTGTAATCGTTGAGAGCCGATTTTTTCTGTGTGCTTGCAGTGCCACCGGTATCTGTTAACGAATATGCTTATACTGATCACGGCGGTCCTTAGTTTTCTCATAAAACCGTTTTGTGAACTGACAACTTACTGACTTGTGACCAGCTACGAGGGTCATGACTCGGCCTTAACGGGGAATTGAAGATCGCACGCAGTATTCTTTCGTATAAATCCCGCTCGAGGTACCTATTCCAGAATTATTCAGAGCTCAAACTGGGGCCGTTTCTCTTCCCACTTCCTTGCATTATTCGTCCATGGCCAAGTCAAAATGGGAAACTACAGCCGATTTTTGTAAAACCGTTTTGGGATCCACACTCAAACTGTAGGCCGTTGGTTATTCGTCTTTATACTTATTCTTTAAGCATGTTTAGGTGCGAGCCTCACAAGAATACTATTTACAAATGCTATTATACTTGTCCTGTCTCACTTGGTTTTTTGTATGGACAGACTTTGTACATCTAAAACCTGATTTACCTCAATTACGACGATTCTTAACATTGACGGAATTTCCGCCTTTACAAAGAAAAAATATTTTTTTAACAACGTAGTATTACTCTGAATACGTTTTTGGTGTTTTCATTTTGCTTAAAGTCGTTCATTGTTAATTAAGAGTTTTGGTGCTTTCATTTGTGCTTGTAAGCGACTGATTAGCAATATACGATAAACTCTGGCATGAGTTCGGTCACTTACAGTATTTCCGAGTTGCTGAAAACACTAAAATTTTTCGCCTCCTTTAAACACCCTCGTAAAGACCTATGGATGTTACAACAGCATTTCGACACTACAGTACAGTTAATACAACTCCACAAATATAATCTAACATTACATTCGTGAATTCACCCGTCCAGAGCGTAAGGAAACCATTACGGGATGCCTACGTCTCGCTACAGAACACTTATTTACATCTGTAAAATAAGGCTTAT